TTGCTCACAGGCTCCTCAGCACTGCCAGCTCCTGTCTGGCTGCTCCAGCTCCTCAGCCAGGAGAACTCAGCCACCCCTTGGAAACACTTCCAAAAACCGGTTCATTCATGAGGCCTCATCCTATTCCTGGACAGACACGTGGCACAAGCCACATAACACCAGAAAACCCCAGCTGGCCTCAACAGCCAAAGAAAGAAACCAAAAAGCCAAACCAAACCAAACAAAAACCAACCAACCAAAACCCACAAAACCCAAACAAAAATCCCCAAACAAAAAAATAAACAAAAACGCCCAAACAAACAAAAAACCAAAAAACCCTAAAAACTCCATCCCCCAAAAGACCCCAAACAAAACATAACAACAAAAAACACCCCCAAACTAAACCAACTAAAAAAACCTAAACCAAACAAACCCCCGCCAAAAACAATACAAAACAAAAAAAAATCTAAACAAAAGAGAAAACAACAACAAAAACTAATCAAAAAACCCCAAAGAAAACCAAACAAATAAAATCTAACAAAACAAACCAAAAACCAAACCAAGGCAAAGCACCCCCCAGATCTGAATGGTTTGCTGTTCTATCACAACTGTGGCCAGCTGGACTGAACCCAGCAGGACTTCAAAGGCTGAGGTCACCCTGGGGAAGCAGAGCCCTGCCTGTCTTCGGGAGGACCTGCACGTATTTTTGGGGTCAAGACACAAGAAGAACCCAATTAATGACACCACTTTGTCCCCTGCAAACCCAGCAGTGGGAGGAGAGAGGGACTGTGCCCAGGCCAGGGGTGAGTGTGGATACTCCCTGGAGCCCAGACCATGATGGAAGCACCCGAGGAGCAGCAGGACTCACTTGCTGGTTGGCCATTGTGTGGTACCACCAGAATAGCCTCGTGGTGATGTAGTAAGCCACCACCACGTCCACAGTGTAGTGGTCATGAGCAAGGAGGATGCAGAACATCCCCACCACGCTGAGCGCCCAGCAGAGCCAGTGGTACCACCAGAGTCGCCGTGGGGAATCTGCAGGGAAGCAAAAGCAGCAGTCACTTCACAGGGGCACTGCAGTGGGAGCTCTAAGGGCTGGGTGGGGACAGCAGAGTCACAGACTGCAGCCCATGCTGAGATCACAAATAAGTGTCGTTCTCTTAAGGTGGGACTGGGAATTGTGCTCAGGGTAATGAGATCCTTGGAAAACAGAAAGGTTATGGAATCTTTGGGAAAGATGTAACACACYCTGGCCAGTCAAATTAACCAGTATTTAGATGGGATTTTGGGAAGGAATTGTTCCCTGGGAGGGTGGGCAGGCCCTGGCACAGGGTGCCCAGAGAAGCTGTGGCTGCCCCTGGATCCCTGGCAGTGCCCAAGGCCAGGCTGGACATTGGGGCTGGGAGCAGCCTGGAACAGTGGGAGGTGTCCCTGTCCATGGCAGGGGTGGGATGGGATGGGCTCCTTCCAACCCAAAATATTCCAACCCATCTGGTGAAGGATGTTACCCAATATCCAACTCCTGGTACAGCCAGAGGGCATTCCCTGCCCTCTGTCGTGGGAAAGGCAGGTGTTTTAACAGGAGTTGCCTTTTCCAGGGAGCACAAGAGCAATCCCTGCATCAGGAATGGCCCAGAGGAACGGGGCAGGGCACTCACACTCTTTGATGAACAGGTAGGTGAGGGTGAGGATGACCGTGTGGCCGCTGTACAGGTAGTCCCCGCACATGTTGTGAGAGCCCGTGATGGACAGGCCCCCGCCAGCAATCAGCTTCATGATCCTCCTCAAGTGGGACTCCCAATCTCCAAAGAGCTGTGGGGAGAGCAGAGCACAGCACACAGTCAAACACCACAGCTCCCAGCAACAGCTCCCACCAGCAACCTGCCCTTTCAGCTCCTCTCCCTTCCTGCTCTGACCCACGGGATCAATCAGCAGATAAATAAACCCACAGCTTTTCCCAGCACATTTCCAGCAGGAAGAAGGCTGGAAACGAGACAGAAGTGTTTTGATGCTTTGCACCTCTTGTAGCTGGTGCTCAGGTGAGATTTCCCTTCTGTTCAAAAGGCAGCACTCTGAAATAAGTGAGGTTTAATTTGGTTCCTGTTGCTGTTTTCATCCAACAGACAGCAGGAGGAACTGCCCAGGCTGCANAGGGTGGGCAGGCCCTGGCACAGGGTGCCCAGAGAAGCTGTGGCTGCCCCTGGATCCCTGGCAGTGCCCAAGGCCAGGCTGGACATTGGGGCTGGGAGCAGCCTGGAACAGTGGGAGGTGTCCCTGTCCATGGCAGGGGTGGGATGGGATGGGCTCCTTCCAACCCAAAATATTCCAACCCATCTGGTGAAGGATGTTACCCAATATCCAACTCCTGGTACAGCCAGAGGGCATTCCCTGCCCTCTGTCGTGGGAAAGGCAGGTGTTTTAACAGGAGTTGCCTTTTCCAGGGAGCACAAGAGCAATCCCTGCATCAGGAATGGCCCAGAGGAACGGGGCAGGGCACTCACACTCTTTGATGAACAGGTAGGTGAGGGTGAGGATGACCGTGTGGCCGCTGTACAGGTAGTCCCCGCACATGTTGTGAGAGCCCGTGATGGACAGGCCCCCGCCAGCAATCAGCTTCATGATCCTCCTCAAGTGGGACTCCCAATCTCCAAAGAGCTGTGGGGAGAGCAGAGCACAGCACACAGTCAAACACCACAGCTCCCAGCAACAGCTCCCACCAGCAACCTGCCCTTTCAGCTCCTCTCCCTTCCTGCTCTGACCCACGGGATCAATCAGCAGATAAATAAACCCACAGCTTTTCCCAGCACATTTCCAGCAGGAAGAAGGCTGGAAACGAGACAGAAGTGTTTTGATGCTTTGCACCTCTTGTAGCTGGTGCTCAGGTGAGATTTCCCTTCTGTTCAAAAGGCAGCACTCTGAAATAAGTGAGGTTTAATTTGGTTCCTGTTGCTGTTTTCATCCAACAGACAGCAGGAGGAACTGCCCAGGCTGCAAAGCCACCTGCCAAAAGACAGCTCTCTGTCTGATGAACAGAAGAGCATCTCTGTCCAAACCCCGAGGCTTTGGGAAAGTCTGCAGGATTCTTGCTTTCCACTCGCCCTTCCAACAGAAACATCTGCGCTGTCTGTCAGAGCATGGTGCCAGACTTGTGCTCTGAATCCCCAGTGGGGATCTCCCTCCACATCCAGGGATTTGCTCTGACAACCACAGCGCTGGCTCAGGGAGGATTCCTGAAAAATCTTCAGGAAAGCCAAATCCCAGCAAACCAAGCCCTTCCCATGGGRACACTCTGCTCCCTCTCCCGAGTGACCGAGGGCAGCTGGCACTGCCTGAGACTTTCACTGCTTCRAACTCTAAGCCCAAATATGAAACAAATCCATAAAAAAGGTGTGCCATGGGAAAGCAGAATGTATGGAGAACCTCTGGGACCCATGGGGAGGCAGGGACCAGAGCAGGACTAACGGATCARTGCACCCTCACTCATTTCATGATGTTTGAAAACCAATGGTAACCATTTCAGAGTGAAAAGGGAACACAGACCCCCCCAGGCTGGCCACCATGCTTTTATYTGAAAGCTTGGCTTTGCTTTAAGAAGTGGAAATTCATAATTTCTGACAGACTGGAGCAAGTTCTTTGCAGGAATTAAACATTTCCTCACAAACATTAAAATGCTTCCCCAAAGCCCACTTTCCACCATCACACAGAACTCAATCAGGTTATTCTTTTTCCCACCAGCACATTTAGARCTGTCAAGCAAACCCAGCTTTATCCTTAATCTTATCAGGGCCAGGAGCTTGTCTCCACTTGAGCAATGAGAAGGATTTGCCAACACTGTAAATTCCCCAAAACAGCAGATTTATCCACTTYAGCCCATAAATACCCATGTTCTCTCTTGTTTAATTTCCTCATTTCCTAACAGCTGCCTGTTCAAAYACAGTGTTGACTCCTGTCCCACTCATTCCTCTTCCCAAAATCCCTCCAAAAGCCACAAAGGCTCTGCCTTGGCGAGCCCTGGCTGCATTTCCCCGAGGACCCAGAGCATGTTGGCTTTGTTTGGACACACCAATCCTCCCCAAAACTTTCCAGCACGTGGATCAGGTCCCGGGATTGTCCCACATCAGGGATTTCACAGGCTGCCACCTGATTTGTGGCCGTGCTTAGGCCCTTCCTCCTGCTGAAATCGAGTCACAGCACAGCCAGCCCCAGCAACTGCAGTCAGGGTCAACTGCAGCAACTCAGAGCAGGGCCCCATGATGCCTTAGGATTTTTAGTTTCTGTATTTTCATGTATCTTTATTCTTGTATTTCTCTAGTGTACACTGCTAAAACTCCCGATCTCCCATCTTTAGACAAAACAATTCCTCTCTGAGCCTGAAATCCAAGGACACTTCGCTGCCTCAGAGCCCCTAAATATGGAAACAAAAGAGAATTGGGGGGAGCAAGTTTGGGGTGGGTGATACCATCACCTGAAGGTGTCATTGGAGAATTGGGGCACGATGTGTGAATGAGACAGAACTGATAAAAGGTGAAAATCTCGTGACTCAGGGCCCATTTTGGATGTAGCCTCAGGAGAAGGCTTTGTCTGCCCTGAATGTACCAGTAGGCTTGGATTAAATTTGTCTGCTTTATTCTCTTCACTTTGTCTGGCTCTGTTTCAGGTGAGCCTTC